CAGTGGGGTGGAGCACTCCCTCAGCTACTGGGAGTTCGCCAATGCACTTCGCCTCAACTCCCGGGAAGCTGGTGGGCCGCCTCTACGCCTTGATCTCGCTGATCCCACGGACTTCCCTTCTCAGGCGTACTTTCAGAGCATCTGCCTGCCCGACTGTGTGGATGAACAGTACGTGGCCAGCCAGACGCGGGCTTCTCTCCTCCGTCCGGAGTGGCGGATCCTCAACCACCTGATGTGCACTTCCTACACACCCAGCGCAGGCTCGGCCAACCGGGTCACGCTCCGCACACTCTGGTTGATGCATGCGATGGGTCGTTCTGAGGACACCATCCAGGTGGGCTCTGTACTGGCGAGGACATTCACGAAACCAGCCATCAGCACGACTCGCGCCCTCGTTTGTGGGCCGGTGATCACCGCCCTGGCCCGCAACTACGGGGTGGATTTCACCGAGATGACTTTGGTGTGCGCGCCGTCTCCACTCAGCGAGGCTACTCTTCGCAACCAGCACCTGCTTGCTCGCCACGGGCGTCAGCGCTGGATCGAGGGCCTTCCTCAGCCACCTCCTCCTGCCGAGGGTGACCAGGCCGAGTCGAGCGCCGCTGGTGGGCGCCGAGGTCGCCGTCGTGTTCCCCGTCGTGGCCCAGCTCCCGCGAGCCCCTCTCCTGCCCCCTGTCTCCGTCTCCAGGGTCGCCCCCTCCAGTGGTGGTGCCCATCTCCGACCAGTTGGCGGCGATCACGCAGCAGAATGAGCGCCTCCTCGCCGGCCAGGAGCTCCTCCACACCCGCCTTGATCGTGAGCGGGACCGCGGGCGTCGCATCCTGTCCGGACAGCACTACATCATGTCCTACTTGGGCTTGGACCCGAGCGCGGTCCACTACCCGTTCGTGCAGTCCCCGGGATTTGAGGATGAGTACCCTCCCCCTACCGGCGATGGTGGTGATGCATTCTAGAGCGGGTTTTGTGCTTTATCTGTTTTCCAGACTGAGACTCTGTGTTTTGTGGTTTCGTTTTGTTTTGTTTTATCTCGGATTGTAGACTTGGTACTCTGACTCCTATCACCCAGTGTGTGTTTTTGTGTCTCTAGCTCTGTGCCTCTTCTTTTGACTGGTCCGCCATCTAGTCAGCGTTCCTGACCAGTGTTTCACGGTAACATCGTTCCCCTTCCCTCTGCTCCATTGAGGACATTGTCGCGTTTAAGTGTGGGGGGGTTCTTTGTACGAATTGGAACGTATATATGTGTGCTTGGAGCCTAGTCCACTGTCCAAATCTTGAGATTTGAGGGCTCCAAGCACGGCTGTTTGCTTGATGATTGATCGTATTGGCACTGTGGATATGATTAGTGAATTGAATGGCTTTTGACTTGATACATGACAACTTGAGTGGGACTTAGACAACTTATTGTGATGACTGAGATGTGTAGTAGAATTGTGTAGGGGTTCAATTTTCTCAACTGTTTGCTCATCAAATGTGACTTGGTTTGATCACTTGCTTTTGACAGTCAGTTATGCATATAGTTCAGGGAATCAGAACGAGAGATAGAGCATATAGGTAGCCATGTGAGATTTGAGCCTGCTCGTTTCTTTCTTGTGCGATAGTTTCCTCTTCCATGATGTGCAGCATTCACGTTATCATTAGCTAAGATGATGGAGGCATAGGATTAGCCCACGACCAAATTGACTGTCCTAGTGTGTCATACCCCTAGTCAGCCCCTTTGAGCCGTGTGTTTCCCTTTCTTCCGGTCTTCAATGAAAAGTCACCCTTTTGCATCTTTTAGAAGGTTCCACAGAGTGATTTTTACATGTTCTCTGCTGTTTCTGCTAAATGTAATGTGAGGGTTGGAGGTAGTGCTTAAAAGTTGGGCAGGTGTTTGAAAATTTGCAGAGGTGGTGGTTCTCTTAGGAAATGAAAAATAATGAAAAAAAAATGAAAGCAAAAGAGAGCCACCACCAAAAATCTGAATAATGCCCATGTAGTAGTGTTTCTTAGCAGTCTGGCTTAGAAATACTAGCATTTATGTAACCTCCTTCGCTCTTGTGCTGTGAACTTGAGTAATGCAGAATAGCAGAAAGAAGGTTATTGGTTTGATTGATTGTGAATCTGTTGGGTTTGGAAATGTGGAACCTTGTGCTGTATGAATACTTCCACCACCTAAAAGGCCTTTTCCCCATGTCCAATACCCTAGCCAGTCATCTGAACCTGTGTCTAAGACCTCCGGATTAGTTAGTGATGACACCCCATATGTGAACTCTAGCACTTAGAGGCTGCATTCATGGTGAAGAGATGTTAGGAATTGAGAGATTGAGCATGCGCATTTTTCGCATCATATTGTCCTGACCCCACTGGTCGAGAGTGAGCGATTCATTTTCTCTTATTCTGTATACTCTTTATCCCAGTGAGGACCTAGATTGCTCGGTCTCAATTCTGATATCTTGAACTTTGTGCATGATGTGACTGTTTCGAACAAGTGGTTGAGTCAAGTCTATGTTGGTTGGTGAACAGAAGGGACACTCTTCCTTTGTTCGATTTTACTGCATTCGAATGTCATCTGTGGCGGTTGTCTAGGTTGTCAGTGAGGTTGTCCATGTGTTAATGATCGAAAGCCAGTATGATCCACGTGTTTTGTGCCGATATGTCATGCCTTGTTGTTTTGAGCTTACCTTGTGTCTGACTTGGTTTGCTTGAGGACAAGTAAACGGTTAAGTGTGGGGGAATTTGATAACGATGTAAATGCACATGTTTGCGCCCCTAGTTCTTATCCGTTTGAGGAGTATAGTCGTGTGTTTTGGCCTATTTTACGCCGAGTTGTGTTATTTTGTCATATTTCAGGTCCCAGGCGTCAAAGGGAAGGCTGACCACGAGTTTCGGGGCATTCGGAGGTCATTTCGTCAAGCTGGGGCCAAAACACGGGCACACCTAAGGCATTACACGGCCGTGTACTGCTGGCCGTGCTTTTTATGCCGAGAGCAAATTCAGTTTGGCCAATTCAGCTGCAAACACGCGCACCGAAGCACGACCGTGTTCAGTCAAAGCACGGCCGTGTCCAACGCGAAGCACGGCCGTGTTTCTCCCAACTGCTGGCCGTGTAATTAAGCCTGGCCGAGGCACGGGCGGGCTCAGGCAAAGCACGGCCGTGCCCTCGACCGTGCTTTGGCCACTGGTGCTTTTAAGCAGAGTTTCAGCCACAATTCAAGGGGATTCGAGTTTTTGAGAGAGATAACGACTTCTAGAGAGAGAAAGTGACGAGCAAGAGTTCCCAAGTACCCTAGATTGATCTTCAACACCATTGGAGGCCAGCTTGAGCTTGGAGAAGTGCCAATCAACGTCCAGAAGCAGGAATCCATCCTTTGCAGTATGAATTCCGTGTCTGATTCTACTTTTGCTTTCTTCTCTATGGAGTAGTTCTCCCATTCATCTGGGTATGGAGAACCCTAGATTTGTATGTTAGGTTTTGATTGTATGAACCCAAGTACTGATTCTATGATTGATTATATTCGATTGAGGTTTTAATGATTGAATGACTTGAATCCTGATCAAATTCCTGTTGTTTCTGCTTTAACCTAGAATGAGAATATCTGCCTAGGTTAATAGAGTATCCTTGATTGAAGGTAGGGAGTTGGTGACTTTAGTCGAGGAACCAACTCACTATTCTGTACCGGATTTACTCTGGTAGTGGAGGTTTTGTTCTTAGGGCCTCAATCTGTCGACTCCGGTGGAGGCTAGTCGCCCGCTAGAGAGTCAGATTGAGAGGGTCTGAAGACCTTTAGTCGAGACTTCAGGCTGTTTAAGAACCTTCCGCAGTATAACTGTCATAGAAACTGAACTTGGTAATTACAATCCGGCTTAACAGCAGTCTAGGGGGAACCATATCCGGGTGACCTCTTTAACTTGAATACAACAGTTTACTTGCTTTGTTAGTTTGATAGTTTAGACTTGCATGCCAGTTTCATTGCTAGATAACAAGAATTCACTGAGTAGTCATCACATCTAGGACCCGGGTTGATAATTAAACCCAAACCCGCTATACTACGCTTTAGGAAGTAGTTTCACTTGGCCAATTCCTGGAGTGACAGTAGAGTCGAGTCAATGTGTTAAGAACTGTTAATCATCACTTATGGGTCTGAATGGTTGGTTAATTGACATGTTGCTAGGCTGTGTGCTCTTGCTCTAACTGCCCTGACCCTAAAACTCCTTTTTGTATGGTGGTTGATAACTTATTTTATGCATAGGTGAGAGGGTGGATATATATAGGTAGATGCCTAGATGGGAGCATATTAAACTGTTGAAAGTGTTGTAGGTCTATACTTATGGTGATTGATGACTTGTTTGATGCATATTGAGACTAGAGAGGGTGGATGTATATAGGTAGATGCCTAGTTGGGAACATATTAAATGGCATCAATGCAGACTGAAGTAGCTATCTGTATTTTGGTCAAATTGACGGGACTGTGCATCTAGGCATGGTTTTGGGTCTTGGCGATTTGTTATGATTCGACTTGAAGCTGTTTCTTTTAGCCTTACGAGTCGTATTTGAGAAGTAAAGAGACTTGGTCTCAGAAAGCTTGTGCTTCCATTGGACCTTAAATCCCTGTTAAACCTTCTTTCCTCAAATCTTGTCTGTCTTCAGTGTTGATCCATAAATAAACTGAAGCAACACATGTACTTTGTGTTTCATACAACTTGTTGTTTGCGTTGCTTCTGATTGGAGTTTTTTCTTTTCCTTACTGTAGCTCCCTACACTTTTCACGCCAGGAAAGAATGATTAAAGTATTTTAGTTTTATATATCCTAATTATGAAGATTCGAGACTTAATAAAATAAGGGATTTGATTCCCACCCACGAGTTTTGATATGAATATTTACCTTCTAGGAAGCTTATTAGTTTATTTAATTTTAATTCTAATAAATACAAATCACAACAAAAATATTTTGTAACATTCCTCTTCCTTCATCAGAACTCTAAACACGTTTTTCCTATATAAGCTACTCATCCGAGTGGAATAATCTTCGTATTTTCGGGAAGAAAACAAACGAAGGAAGATCGGTGTCATGGAAGGGTTATTTTGAGTTGTTTTCCGATGCCTTTGTTCCTGAGTCTTATGGCCCCTGGTGAAGCTTCGTTTTGTTAATGTTGTTTTCAGGCTAGACAAGTCAGTGGCCGAATCAAATGAGGTAAAGTTTCGAAATTCGTACAGTGTCCAGCATTCCTTTATTTTGTTATTTTTATTTGGGGTATCTAAATGCCTGGGTTTTTGTTTTGCAGATTAGGAGCCTGCATTCGTTTATGACTGACTTGGAAAAGGTCAGCTATCTATGAAAAGGGAGTTGAAGGATGATATTAAGGACTTGAGGACAACAGTGCAGTCGTTTAGGGACCTATTGATTGGGAGGTTTGGTGGGAACTCTGAAAATGGCAGAAAAGAGAAAAATGATGATAAAGTCGAAGTTGTTAACTTAAGCTCGGATAGCTCATTTTCCTTGCCAACAAGGAGTAAACATGAGATGAAAAGCACAATCAGCAGAAGAAAGGTACCCGTAGTCACACTTTTGTTTTTTGTGTTTATGTGATATCAGTATTTTAATACATATGTTAAATGATAGGGGAAAGCGGTTAGAAAGTCTCCAATTAGGTTGCGGAGTCCTATTTGGACCCGGAAAGATCCCAAGAGGACTAATGCCAAAATAAAGATGATCGGCCGCTTCATCACTACAAAGTCCCTATCAAAAAGGGATCATTGGTTGATCAGCCATGTTTTTTATCCATTCAAGGATGAAAGGTATTAAAAAAACTGTTTTACATTGTTATTAATTGAGCATAATTCATTTTTTGCAAGTTAAAGGCACTCATCCAAGATTTGTAGTGCCTGTTGTTGGTTGTAGTGAGGCGCTAGTTAGATCTCCATGGTTTCATCTAACCCGTGGAGAGTTTAAGGTATTAGTGCCGGAAATACCATTGTCTACCCAGGTTCGTTAACTTATCTTGATTCTTGAATCTATAAATGACTTAGTAAAGTAGCAAAGTTCTGTAAAGTGATATGTGTTTTGATTTGTTTATTTGTGTAGGTGATCACTATGTGTGTTGACTTGTTAACGGTGCCGGAGTTGGAAAATGAAAACCCTGTGAATTGGTTCTTACCACCTGCATTTGCTATAAGTTCATAAGTTGTATTTGGTATTATTTTGATTATCTTTAAAAGTAGTAATTGGACATATTTCAAACTATAATGTGTGCTAAAAGTAATGTTTGGTTATAAGAGTCTTCATTATGAATGATTGTATAGGGTTGTTAAAATCTGTCGTGGATACAAAATTTTCCAGCATGTACTTTAGATACAATAAAGTAGGAAAGCTCGTCTAGTCACTTAAATTTGTTGTCTGTCATTAAAAAAACTTGAACTTTAGGCCATAGTTTTTGTGCTGTAATTTTTCCGTGTGAATTCTTTGTCATGAGTGGAACCTGAAACTGGTATCAGATCTGTTGTCATTCTTGTGATGAATTTATGGATTGAAAAGTTCTAGCTCCACCCAATCCTAGATGTGTTGCCCATTTTTCTTGAAATTCCAGAAACCAAATTTTTGGGTTTCCTTTTAAACGTTGTATGGCTGCTTCTGTGCAATAAACTCCTCATACCACACTAGTGTATTTTCAGCACTTCTGTTCGAGAGATGACATTGACATGATGAACCTGACTAGTTAGCACGTAAAAATTGAAACCTTATCTAGGTATCCATAAAATGTGAATCGATTGTGTAACTATTACGATTTAATATGACTATACTTGTAGGTGGCATGTGCAACCGGAGATCGCGTTTTTGCTTACCCTGAGAAAAGAATTAAAATAGTGTACTGCTCTGGGGACTTCAATGATTGTGAGAAGTTAACTGTTCCAAATGCTAGAACCTCTTAGAATTTCGTGATGGATAGAATTTTTTGTTGAGGTTTAAGTAATGTGTGTACATGTCAGATTTTTGTCCCCGTGCTGTTGGATAGCCACTTCTTTCTTTCTTTCTGTTTTTTACCTTAAGAAAGAGGCAATTGAAATATGGGACTCACTTCCAAATTGTGTCGATCCAATTCAGAGGGGAGAAAAAGTTTCACTGATTGTAAGTCATCTTGGGCATCTAAAAGGCTATGCTATGTATTCAATTTGTATATATGCTGACATATCATGTACTTGATGTAGGCGAAGGAACTGGACTCGATCTTTTTTAAAGCAGTCATGAGGAGATTCGAGGCCAAGATGTTTTGCACTTTCACCATCGTAGAGGTGGTCAATGCTCCGCGGCAAGAGAATGGGTACGTTTATATGTCTGGTTTCTCATTAGTTGGTTGGTTTGAAATACGCTATTTGGTTTAATTTTCGGTTTAAATGTTTTTGGGCAGGTTCGACTGTGGGTTGTTTGTGTTGAAGTTGATGACATGTGGCGGCCATTTGGATGAGTGTGCCCGGGGACTGAATAAGAAGGTGGTTTATTCCCTTCATCTTGTTATTATTGTTATTGAAGTGTTTTTCGTCATTTTTTATGGCTTCTTCGTTTACATTTTTCAGTTTGATAGTGAAGAGGAGAAGGCAAGGTCTAGCTCTGTACTTTTTGACAATATGGAGAATACGGAGCGTGATGCTCTCCATCAGAAGGTACTCATGGAAGGTGTTAGTGGAGGTGATTCCGTGGAGGGCGATGTGGAATGGAGTGGGACTCCTGAATAATTAGGGAATGGCAAGACACTAAGATTTTGATGTATTTTTTTCCCCAAACAATCAAAGAGCTGGAGTAGTTGCTGCTAGGTGTTTTAGTTTTTTGACACGCCAAAACACAACACCAAACTGCGACCGAGTGTAATCGTAGTCCGGGAATGCAGTAAAGTGGCAAGTTCTATTATCAACCCGGGGTCTAGATCTACTGCTTACTCCGTGAGTATCTATTATCTAGCCAACTAAGTTAAGTGATTGTTGTTTAAAGCAAAAGCAGTAAGAAAGCAGGAATTGGTACGGTTTTCTCAAGCAAAGAAGAGTCACTCGGGAATGAGTCTCCCTAGCTCCTTAGTTAGGTATCAATTGTAACTTCCCTGGGTTGATTTACTATTGATTAGACTGCGGAAGATCCGACAGTAGCTTGGAATCTCTTAAGCTGATCAAGCCCTCTCAGTCTAACTACCCAGCAGACGACTAGTCTTCACCGGGATAGAAAGCTGAAGCAATAAGCACAGAACTCCACTACTGGAATTGGATTCCAGTACAAAGCAGTAAACTAGCTAACACTCGTATGGCCAATCTCCTACTAACGAATGATGAGGCTCTAACAACCTAATCAGATTCTATCTATCTCAGGTTGCAGCAGAAATCAAGAAAAGCTTATCAGACTTCAATCAATTCAATAAACATGCATCATTCGATTAAAAGCAAACAGTATAATCATCCCAAGTCATTACAATCAAATCCCTAGCACATGGAACTAGGGTTCTTCATACCCAAGTGAGAGAAGGGTTCTACTCCATAGAGAGAGAGAGGGAAACAGAATACAGAGTAGTCATACTCATAAGGATGAAGAAAATCTGGTGTGGGATGATGATTTCCACTCCTATGACGATCTCCAAGCTCGATTTGATGAAACCCAGCTCCAAGATAGCTTCTAGGATGTGTTCTTCGTACTTTCTCTCCCTAGGGCTCTGTTTTTGCTCTCAAAATCCGATCCTCTCACTTGCAGCCCGAAATTGGGTAAAAACTAGAAATTCCCGACTCACACGGGCAGGCCACACGGCCGTGTGGCATACCTAGTTGCCCGTGTGAGGTCAAAACGCCGCGTTCCGATTATGTGGGTTTCAGGCTTCCTACACGGCCAGGGGCACACGGCTGTGTAGCTCACCCAGCCTGGCCGTGTGAAGCCTCGCAGAATTCCACACGGCCAAATTATTCCTTCAAATGGCCGTGTGGAATTTATTTGTGCCCGTGTGAAGGCTCTCACAATCCCACACGACCACCTTGGTCACTTGCACGGCCGTGTGGTTCTGTGTGTGCCCGTGTGGCTTCCTCAGCGACTCGCCTCGCGTCCGATCTTCGTCCAATCGACCCCGAACTCGCTCCCAAGCCTTCATTCACTTACTAGGACCTGAAATATCCCAAACAAGCACAACCTAGCTTGAAATCGGCCTAAAACACGAGAATCAACACCTCAAACGGCTCCATAAAAGGGGTAAAAACATGTGCAATTAACGGTTTATCAAACTCCCCCACACTTAACCATTTGCTTGTCCCCAATCAAACCAAGTCAGACACAAGGTAAGCTCACATATTTCAATCAACCAACATTGGGGATAAATCATATAGACACAGAAACACGTGAATCATACTGGCTTTCAAACATCAACACATGAACAACCTCAACAGCAACCTGGACAACCACCACAGAAGACATTCGAGTGCAGCAAAATCGAGTAAAGGAGGAGTCTCCCTTCTGTTCATCAACCAACATAGACTTGACTCAAGACTCACTTAAGATAGTCAACTCACGCATAAAACTCAAGACATCAGAATCAAGACCGAGCCATCTAGGTCCTCACCGGGTAAAGAGTGTAAAGAACAAGGAAATGAATCGCTCACTCTCGACCAGTGGGGTCAGGACAATTTGATGCGAAAAATGCGCATACCTGTTCTCTCAATTCCTAACATCTCTTCACCATGACGGCAGCCTCTAAATGTTAGAGTGACTGGCTAGGGTCTTGGACATGGGGAAAAGGCCTTTTAGGTGGTGGAAGTATTCATAGCACAAGGTTCCACAATTCCAAATCCAACAAACTCACAGTCAATTAAACCAGTACTTTCTTTCTGCTATTCTGCCTTACTCAAATTCTTACGAGCACACGAGCGAAGGAGGTTATATACAATGCAGTCAAAAGCGCGATTCTACCTAGAAGCGGTTGGGTAACCTAGAAACGTAAAATCGTAAGCTTTTAAGTTTTAAAACGCAGATTTTGACTACATTTGTAAGGGAAAATCACGATTCTACGTAGAAGCGTTTTAGTGACTCAAAAGGGTAAAAGCGTAAGCTTTTAAGTTTTAAAGCGCGATTCTGACTGCATTGGTTATATAAATGTCAGCATTTCTAAGCCAGACTGCTAAGAAACACTACTTAATGGGCACTATTCAGATTTTTGGTGGTGGCTCTCTTTTGCTTTCATTGTTTTCTTTGTTTTTCTTTCATTTTTTCCCATTTCTTAAGAGAACCACCACCTCTGCACATTTTTCAAACACCTGCCCAACTTTTTAAGAACTACCTCCAAGTCTCACATTACATTTAGCAGAAACAGCAGAGAACATGTAAAAATCACTCTGTGGAACCTTCTAAAAGATGCAAAAGGGTGACTTTTCATTGAAGACCGAAAGAAAGGATAACACACGGCTCAAAGGGCTGACTAGGGGATATGACACATCAGGACAGTCCATTTGGTCGTGGGCTAATCCTATGCCTCCATCATCTTAGCTAATGACAACGTGAATGCTACACATCATGGAAGAGGGAACTATCGCACAAGAAAGAAACGAGCAGGCTCAAATCTCACATGGCTACCTATATGCTCTATCTCTCATTCTGATTCCCTGAACTAGATGCATAAGAGACTGTCAAAAACAAGTAATTAATCCAAGTCACAGTTGGTAAGCAAACAGTTGAAAAACTGAACCCTGCACAATTCTACTGCACGTGTCAGTCATCATTATAGGTTGTCCTAGTCACCATCCAGTTGTCATGCATTAATCCGAAAACCATTCAATTCACCAATCAAAACACAGTGCCAATATGATCAAACAAACAGTAGTACTTGGAGCCCTCAAATCTCGAGATTTGGACAGTGGACTAGGCTCCAAGCACACGTAAAGAGTCAAACCGATACAAAGCACCCCCCCCCCCCACACACACTTAAGCACGACATTACCCTCAATGGAGCAGAGGGAGAGATAAGGGGAACGATGTTACCGGAATGAAATACTGCAGAAGACTGGAAGAGGACCAGTCAGCGGGGGACATATGGAACGAACGGGCATTTTTGCACTCAAATGAATGACAAGAACACACTAGCACATGTTCGTTAAGGATCAGAGTTGGCCCAGATGGCCACAAAAGAAACAATCCACAAAAGAAAAGAAACAAAACACACGACAAACTCAGTTCAAGCTCCTCAAACACATGGAGCAAACAGAAAAAGTCTAAAACAAAAACACACACTGAGGGGCGACAAGTACAGCCTACTCGTCGCCAAGGTTCTCCAGATCGATGTCTTTCATGAATGCATCATCATCATCAGCTGGTGGAGGTGGCAGTGGAGAATCCTCCCAGGGAGTCCTCCAGACTGCTGCTCGCCCGGTAGCAGCTGGAGCAGATGCCCCTGGACCTCCTGCATGCGCCTAGCTCGGGCCTGCTCCCTCTCGATGCGCGCCAAGGTCAACCCCTGCTGGGTCTCCATCCTATCAAGGCGCTCATCATATGCAGCCATCCGGGTCTGGTACTCGGCATGGTGAGCCGAATAATGCTGCAGAAACTGGAGACGCAACTGCTGAGTGAAGTAGTCCTGGCCGGGGAAGGTTGAACTGCCACCCCTGTACTCGAAGGTCGTGGGGCGGGCGGCAGCAGTATCATCCACATCCTCGGGATGGACCTCCTCATCAGCCGCGCCCTCGGGAACCTCTGGCTGGACCTCCTCTGGGATCTGAGGTTGAGGAAACCCCTCAATCCACATAACACCTCGCTGTTCTCGAAGCAGGTGCATTTTACTGATCGTAAACCGGCCAAAGGCACTGGTGTCTCCCTGCTATGTGCACCCCTGCAGTGATATCTGGAAGTAAGTGGCCAAGCAGGTGATGAGGGGAGTGTAGTGGAGTTTCTTCAGCTCGGAAGCACTCTTGTAGAAGGTCCTCGCCACCACCGAGCCCAAGTGGAGGGGATGATCCCTCTAGCGCATAGACTGGATGAAGTACATGGCTCTCTTGGTGATGGCGCTGGCACTGTCCGAGGCTGGAGTGTAAGACTTGGCCAACATGTGATGGAGGATGCGGTTGTCGAGCTGCAATGTGCTGGCCTTCGTCTTCCCCACCCTGAAGGGAAGCTGACCTGGCCGAGCGAGGCGGGTGTACAGTGTCCCAAAGTTCACCCCCTCTGGCTCGAGAATCTCGGTGATGTAGTCCATGTCATCGGCCAGGCCGAGGCCGAGGGCGGTCGCCAGCTCGTTGTAGCTCATGGATCGGGGTTCACCGCCGAGCCTGAATTTGAAGGCTTCACCGTCCTTCCAAACCTCCGTGTCTGCGTGCTTGAAGGTAGTGTAGAAATCAAGCACGAGCTCGTGGTAAACCTTCTCGCGAATGCTGAGTAGGCGGTGCCAGGGGCGGTTGGTGACAATGGAGGAGAAGTGCTCGTAGCAGTTCAGCTTCTCCAACTCTCGCTTGGACCAGCAATGATGCTGCCCAAACTTGCAGGCCATGACGTTCTTAAAACGATCCTGGTGGGGCCCCCTTCTCAAATCTTGAACAAACGGGTGCCAGAGGTTGGGCTGCAAAAGAACAACCCAAAGTGGAACCAAAAGAGCCAAGGAAAATGTTAATCACACCCCCACACTTAAGAACAGAAAACAGCCAAACGATGGTTTCATCCATAGTTCGGGGGTCAAAAACTCGATCAAACAAGCATAATCGGGGTGGGGGTGCACATCCATTGAAAATGAGGCAACTCAAGGTTCACATCCATACCAAACACACTCTCAAAGCACAGCATTAAGGGCTCCAACCGACTC